TTTTACGTAATAGAACGCAATTTAGCAAGATGGAGCAAACGATGGGGAGAAGAAAGGAAAGGATCAGGAATTGACTTTAGGGAAGGCCTGCCAAAACATCCATGTTTTTAATTGATTTTTAAAGATACCCAGCGAGGGAGCCGCGCGAATCTCCGGAGGTAGGTTGTTCCAGAGGTGAGGAGCCACCGCCGAGAAGGCCCGATTTCTTGTCTTTTCCTTCTGGGCCTCCCTTGGCATCAGGCTCCTCAGCCTCACCTCCTGGCTCGCACGAGTGACACGGGTAGATCTTGGTGGGAGTAGGCGTTTTATGTCAAAATCCAAAAGTGTGTGCACATACAGTAGGATTTTTGACATTTTCCTTTTGGGAGAAGATACCAATAATTTTATTGTAAAAGAATAGTATACTTATTGGAAGTGGTTTTCAGTATGGTGTAAGGCCTATGTAAAGGGAATTTTTGTTTGTTTGTTGTTTTTGCCTGTTCCCACTTGGAACTATTGCTGTAAGTGATTAATTGACAGTATTTGCTTGGAATTATTCAACCCACAATTCTGTTTTTGTTCTGCTTGGATATTGGTGAAATGTTTGCAAGGATCCAACACCTCTTAAGTTCATCATGTATTGTGGTGACCTGGAGTTTGCACTCTTACATAAACATTATGGATAATAAATTATCTTACTTTTCTGTACCTGTGTTACTAACAACTCTTACTGTATTTTACTTAGGGCTCTGTGCTTAGATTAACGTGATAGCAATATGTTGAAGGTTGCTTCTCTTCCAAATGAGATCCTAGTGTTCATCTTTAGATTAACATATCTAAATGAAAGAACCTTCTTAATTTTCTTCAGTAGAATATAAGGAAGGAACAGGATGTAATAAATATGGAAAACAAAGAGACCACTCTTGTGTTTTAAGGTTAATCCTCAGTGTAAAGTTACTGAAATCTTATTGAATAGCTGCACTTATGTAACTCAAAGTTGTGCTAATGGTAGCAAAACTCATGCTAAGGCACAAATCATATCCAACAAGCAGTTCCATACAACTAGTCACGCAATGAACTGTATGACTGGATATGGTTGCCTGCAAACTTCCACAAACATAACTTTATGATATGCCAAGTGCAAAAGGATTTCAGCAAATGTAAGTTATAGAGATTGGGAGTTCAATCTCCCACTATGCATCCCAGAAGAGACAGCCTATATGGCCTTGGGCAAGCTGCATAGTCCCAGAATGCTCCCAGAAGAAGAGCATGGTAAACCATTTCTGAGTGCTGTCTACCTAGAAAACCCTGAAAAGGGTCGTCATAAGTCAGAATTGATTTGATGGCACACAGTTATTATTAAGTTACTGAATGCTTTGTATACAAGTTGTATGACACTGTTTCTATGTTTATATAAGGTGTGACCCATTCTCATAAAAGTTGAAATGAACATGGGATAGAATCTTCTGTAATAAACATAGGAGAAATATTTTTGTGAGGAAGATGGGGAAAAACCATTCTGTTCTTAAAAGGAAGGTTGTATTGGATGTTATTACAATTGTGTTTTTTGTTTTGTTTTTTTTGTAATGGAGCATGCATATGTGAGTATACATGTATAATTTTTAAAATTTAGGTACAGTATTAGGAATTTGTAATTTATACAGTTAAAAATTTATAATGTTAGAATTAGTGGGACAGAAAAGGAAAAAAGAGTCCTTGCTTTTTTGATAATGTAAAATTGGTTAAAAAAAACTAAACTAATTTCAGTAAATCTTTGTGAAAATCTGTGTGACTAGCGTTTCAATTTTTTTTAAAAAAAATATAGACGTAATATGTATGAACTGGGCTATATTGTCTTTTTTCTTTTCTTTTTTACTTTACATGTTAGTTGATCAATGTGATTTTTACTACCAGATTAACATGGACTGTTCCATGAGAACAATATTTTATTGAGACTTATCTCAGTATACACAGGAATGGTCCATATTGATGTTTTACCTGGCTTTTCTCTTTTTCCTTATTGCTAGTAAAGTTCTAAAAAGTAGTTATTCTATTAGTACTAAAAATTTGTCCTACTCCATTCACAAACACTTAACATTTTTAAAAGGGAAAAATAATTTCTGGACAAATTTGCAAAGAGCTGCAAATTAGGTATAACAGTGATGTGCCCATCTCAGATTTGTATGAATTGAGTGTAGCTGAGGAGCTTCTATCTTAAGAAGGCAACCTTTGAAATTGAGTGAGGGGTCATTTTAATAATAAAACACCCTTTTCTTTGTTTTTAGTCTCATGTCTTTGTTATTTCAGAAACAACAGATCCTATTACTCCTGTGTCATGGAAATTTCCAGACAGATTAGTTCATTATGTCCACTGATTTTTATAATGGAACAGTCTGAAGATAGATGGCAAAACATGCAGAACATCATAAAATCTTACAAGAAATTCAATATCTTATTTTTTTAAGGTACATCTACCCCGTTTATTCCAGGATTTGTAAACTGAAAATGTGTACAGTAGTTCTAATCTCAGAATGTTAGGTGCTGTTATACCTCATCTTTATGAGTTTTGCACTTCAGCCTTTTGCTTTACCCCACTTACAAACATTTAGATCTATCTAGAGGGAAAGTCACTTGTGGACAGACTAGAAAATCAATCCCAATGCTTTTAGGAAATCTTCCTACTGTCTGCAGTAAAAAAAGGCAAATGGATTTCTCCTCTACCACCAGTTGTTCCAGTTAATTGTCACAGTTGTTACCCCTTCTTTTAATCTCATTCACTGTTTATTCAATGGGGATTTTGTTGGAAATTGATTCTTACCATTTGTATTCAGGTCAAATGAAAATAATAGTGTGAGCTGGCAGTAGGTTACTGGTGTGTACATATCTGAGCCATGCTTTGAATAGTTTGCATGAATTTTGGATTCAGAATGGGCTTGTGCAGCTGGAACACACATTGGTGTATTTGCCAATATGTAAACTAA